CTCAGGCTCAGGGGAGTGTGGGGAAAGGGTGACTTGGGGCTAACCTCCAAAATGACTGTGGACAACATGGTAAAGGTGATGGTATTTGGAAGTAGAGGCAAAGCCTTCTCAGTGGGCACCTGATATTCTCCCCTGGCTCTTGACCCCACAGCTCTATGCAAACAGCTCTGATCTCTGCTGGCCACCTTCTTCTCCCTTGGCTTCTGAAAGCCTGTAAAAACCTCTTCTTCACCTGCTGGCCTATTGTGTCCCTGTCCCTACCCCTCCTCCTTAGCCTGTGTCACACTTCAACTTCTCCAAGTTGCCCTTCACTCCAGGGAGATGCTCCTCTGCTCCCACAGTTCCTCCCTTTTTCTCAGCTTCTCCATCTCTCCCCAGCCTTCTTCCCCTGCCACATCTCCACTCCTACCCCAGATACTCCCTCTCTCCTCACTTTGCAAGATCCACCGCTCCTGCACTGAAATGTGCAGAGGATGGGGCCAGAGCATTCAGGGAGTCTGCCTGGCACTGCATACCGTTGTGCACTCCTCTCAGTGCCCAGTTCAGGGACAGGACTTGGTCTTCGGTTCCAGGAGGACATCTCCATTCAGCTGACAAGGCGGTCCCCTGGGCAGCCAGGCTGAAGCCTCCCAATGCCTCTAGCCCTCAGCCCTCCTGAGCCGCCATTGTCCCTTCATGGGAGAGCAGGGGGCATGGTAACCTATGTTGCAGAGCTGTGTTAAACACATCTCTGGGGTACTGGGTAGGATGGCTAAGACCCTGCCCTGGGACTTCCCATTCCATCCCAGTGCGGCCCAGAACAAAGAGATGCCCATGACTCACCCCACCTCTGAGCTGCGGTGGGGAAGCAGGTGCCTGCTCCTGAAGGTTGGCATACACTCCTCTCCAGCTTGGGACTATCCAGCCAATATCTCCCTGGTCAGGATATTTCAGCTCCATCCTCCCTTTGCCTTCTAGTGAGTTCATCTCTCTGGGCCTCCCCACCCCCCTTTGCCCAAAAGGATGTTTGGACACAATGAGGCAGAAAACAGAAAAAGAGGAAGAGATGGAGGCAGTAGCTGCCTACCTACCTGTGCCCAGAACCCTTAGAAAGTGGAAATGGGTGAGGAGGGTTCGGGGGAAGGGCTTCTCTTTACTCTAGCTTGCTGATTTGAGGTGGGCTGGGGAGCAGTAGGCAAGTGGCCATTACCAGTTCCATGCTGGACTGCTAAGCCACACACCGGCTGGCTGGTTCGGTGCATGCTGTCCTGTTAACCCCCTTGGCACCCGCCAAACTTCAGTAGATACAGAGACTGTGGCTGAGGATAAGCAGGCACTCTGAGCTGGAGGGGAAAACTGGTGAGTAGGGATGGGCAGGGAATAGGCTTAGGTGCACTGGAAGGAGGCTCCCAAAAGTTTTCCATGTGGTATCCAGCAGCCCCAAATTAAAAGGCAGAAGGATTTGGGGGCATTTAACTTCAGGTTAATGCACACAGAGAATTTTCAGTTCCTGCAGTCCCACTGTCCTGAGGTTGGGCCCTGCTTATAACCAGAGGGTTGCTCAGGAAAGGTGGAAAAGGGAAGCAGCTCCAGGTGTTTATGGAGGCTGGCTGGTGGAACAGGAGCTGGGAGGTGGGGGTGCAGGGGCTGCCTGCAGAGACTGTGTTCTCTGCCTCTAAGAGCCCAGTCAGGCTGTTACTGCAAATGCCCTGGTGCAAGCCAGGAGCTGCTAGGGCTTATGTGGGAAGAGGGGGTGAGGCGGGCATCAGGCAAGGACAATAGGGGAGCCAGAGGGGAGGAGGCTCCCTGTCAGACTCTTGTTACTTAGGAGGAACTCCTCTCAAAATAGCTCAGGAAACCTCATCAGAGCTCTCCCTTTCCCTCCCTCCCCTTCTGGGGGCTTGGCTGGCTTTCTGGGAACTGCCAGGAGACGGAAGCTTTTATCTCCCCACCATGGTAGAAGTGGGGACTGTCCTGTGGGTGAGTCTGTGTAAGAGCATCTCTCAGAGGCCAAGAGCTGGAGCTCTGCTCCCATTACTGCTGGTCCCACTTCCCTGCCACACACTGATCTCCCCCATACCTGTTCTCCCTCCAGGCTCCGATCCAGCTCCCTGGAGGGCAGGAACTGAGGGCATCACCTGGTCTCAGGACTGTTGGACTAAAAGCAACCAAGAACCTACATAACCTTCCTCCCCCAAGAAAAATAATCTCCTTCCCCTTAAATCTAGGCCCTATCTCCTCCAGCCTGAGCTTCCTGACAGCTCCTTGGCATAGACTCATCCCTCTCTGCATCCTTGAAAATTTGCTCCCCCAGGGTACGGCTAAGCCAGTTCCTCTAAGATCAGAGTGTGTGTTATCCCATGACCAAGGATCAAGATTGTCAGGGTGCAGCTGAGGGCTGTATCCAAGCCACCATCCCCACCATCGAGGGACTTTCAGTAGAAGGAGGGAAAGGGATCAAGGTGCCCAAGCAATTTTTCCCACCCAGAGCCTGGGGGCTCCTGAGGGGGGTAAATCAGCCAGGGCTCCTCAAAGAGACAGTTTTCAAAAGTCAGGAGAGAAGGAACTCACCTTTTGTTGCTCCTCCCCTGGCACCCTCTTCCCTGGGACCCTCAGGAGGATCCTCCAAGCTTGACTAATGGACTAGTGTTTTGAGAATTTTTGAGGAAAGTGCTCTATAAATGTAAAAATCCTCCTGCTGCTCATGCATTTCTCAAGCATTTCCCAAGCTGCAGAGCCCTCCTGGTGTTCTTTAGAGGAGAGCTGGGCGTTTGGAGGTGCAAAGCAGATAACAGGAGAGGTTCTAAGCCTGGCTTTAAGAGTCGCTTTCTCCGTGACCTTGAGCCACACATTTGACTACTCTGGGCCTGTTTCTTCATCTGTGAAGTGTGTGAGTTTTCCAAGGACCTGCCTGGCTCTAAGAGTTGGTGAACAGTGAGGCAGCAAGGAAGGTAGAAGTCACTGAGGGAATTGGCACCTTTTTCTGTCACCAGGATCTAAAGATATCCAGGGAGCTCTGTCCCCTCCCCTCCTCCTCCTCAGGACAGGGGTCACTTTCCTTCCCTTTTGGCTCACCTCCTGTCTCACCTCAGCCTCCTGATCCGAGAAATATGACCCCTGCTGTAAAAATAAAGTGGGCAGCGTAAAAATAAAGTATGCCTTGGCCTGTTGATCTAGTGTCAGGAACTGCCCAGGAGAGGACAGAGTGAATGTGCAAACCTGGAGGTGGAAAGAGACTTAGCCTTTTGGGACCACAGACCTCGTTGAGAATAGTAAGAGCTAAATTGTACTATAGACTTACCCTATGCCTAGCACTCTGCTAAGCACTTCTACATGCAATAATATCTCAGTCAGTCTTCATAGCCAGGTCCACTTCTGAATTTTGCAAGACCAAGGGCAAGTGTACAAATGGAAATTACATATATGTCTAAATATAAGTTATAAATTAAGATAAGAAAGTGTTAAATTTTACCTATTATCCCCTCTCCCTTTGATTAATTTTTCTTGGTCTGAATTTTAAGACTAGGTCCCCAAACCATCACTTGGTCCACTCTTGTCTGGCCCCCTGAGGAACAGGTGCTCTCATGCATGCCTTCTAACGCTTCACCTCTGCCCGCATGCCACTTTCCCTCTAGTTCCAACCCCCTGCAAACAGCTGCCCTTTGCCGGTGAGTGCACATCTGCATGGCTGGCTCCTGACAGGACGGCCTGGAAGAGGAGGTGCGTGAATCACCATCCGTCCTGTCCCACAAACTCCTTTTCCAGTGAGGAGGAGTCTGGCCAGAGGAGGGCCAGAACAAGGCCCTCTAAACTCAGGAGCCCTGGGCTGAGGCCCCCGTTGCTCAGATCTAAGGGTGCCATTGCTCTTAATGATCCCAGGAGGTAAATATCATTCCTTTCACTATTTACAGATGAGCTTCTGCAGAAGTTGCGTAAGTTGTTCAAGGTCATAGCATAATAAATGCTGGAGCTAGAATTTGACTCTCCAGTGCTAGACTCTAGGGCCACTGTACTGTCACAGCTATACAGAAGAAAGGCAGTGAGTTTCACTCCAGGAAAAACACAAATGCACATGCAGCATTTCCCATACAAGCTCAAGGAGTCTCTATGAAGCCCACCAGGGACCCCAGATTAAGAAGGTGGGTGGTGGGGAGCTGTTGGAGGTGGAGGAGGGGCTATAGCAGGGGTCAGATCATGAAGTGGGAGCTGGTTTTCAAGTTTGAACCAGTTTCCATACATGAAAAAGAACAGATAACTCAGGAAGTCAGACAGGATCTGTGGTAGAGGGAGGAAGTTTAAGGCTGTTGGGAAGGGCAGGGGCGGAGCCCCTCAGACATTAGCTACCAAACTATTCTCCAAAGCACTCCTCATTTTTAATTCAAGACTGTTTGGAAAAAAGGATTGCATGTTGGCAGTCTGACCTCAGCCCTCTGACCTGGCTGACCCCCAAGCCGGGAACCTGAAACCGAGGGAGGCTTCCCGGGTTCTGAAGGAGACCTAAGAAACTCCTGGAGAAGGGTGAAAGGGCAGACCTGATTCCCTAACTGGAGCATCACAATTTCCCCGGAGTCTCTGGAGAAATGCGAGTGACTGGGTGCGGTGGGCCCGGGCAGAGTGCAGTTGGAAGCTCTGCTGCTGGAGCCGGGCACGCACTGTTCCGCCCGGCCGCGGAGGTCAAGACCACACACGCCCACCGGCTGCGGCAGTGTCAGACGCGGACATCCGAGCGTTCCCTTCGCGACCCTGGGAGGCAAGCCACTACCCTACCCGTGTTCCCCAAACCACGACAACCCAGCCTTCCAACACCGGAAAAGCTCCACCTCTACTTCCCCCAAACTATCCTAATTGGCAGCTCAGCGCTGGGAAGATGCAGGCAGCTGCCGGCGCCTCTGCAGTGCAAAGCCGCAGCAACGCAGCCGGAGCTGGAGACGGCGTGGGGGGCCTGACCTGCTCCCCGGGCTCGCGGAGCACGAGGCGGGCGCCCTGGGCTCCGCGGCGGCCACCTCCCTCCTGCGGCTGGAGCGCTTCCAGGGCAGAGGCGCTGCGACGCTGGCTTCTGCGCTCGCTCAGCGGTCCTCCTGCTCCTCCTGCTCTTCACACTCCTTTTTCTCCTCCCCTTGCCCTCAGCTACCGCTCCTGCAGCCGGCTCCTCCTCTGCCTCCCTCCCCTGCTTCTCGCGCTCTCCTCGCTAACTTTCCCGAGGCCCTGCCGGCGGCGCAGAGCTCCCCGGCAGCTTGGGGCCCACTGCGGACCGCGGGCTGCCTGCTCGGCTGTGCCCCTATCCCATCCCCGCACCACTGGCGCGCTCCGGAGAGAACGGAATGATGCCCGGGGCTGGGGACCGAGGCGTAGTCCGGGCGAGATGGCTGGGCGCTGGGATATTGGGTAAGGCAGCCCCAGCTTAGTCTCTTCTGCCTCGTCCCCGACTCTTTCTCCAGAGGAGAGGACACTTAGAAGCTCAGTGCCAGGAGCAGGGTGGGCTTTACAGTGCGGAACCGAATGAGCGCCGCTGCTTTCATATTCCTGCTGGAGCCCGGCTGGGTGGGCTATCCCAGGCGCGAACCTTGGGCGTCCCCCGCCCCACCGGCCAGTCAAGCCTCGCCATTAGTTCTCTGCTGTCTTTGGCGCCTTCCGCTCCAGACTTCTGGAGCTGGATCTTGGGACTGCAGGGCAGGTTTTCTGAGTTCAGAGGGTTCGGTGTGTTGGGGGAGGTGGTCTGTACCTTGGGTGGTTTGCACGTGTGACTTGTTGGGATGGTGGTTTCTATCCCTGCCCAGAGCTGTTTGCAACTTGGCTGATTGTTACCCGGACGTCACACATGCAGCAATTGGGGAAGGGGGCTCCTCCTCCTCCTGGCCCTTTTTCTGTTGGGCTCCTCTGCCCTCTGCCTCCTGCAGTGCCCACTGCACTATCTTCTCGGCAGCTCCAACACTACGGCCCGGAAGGGGTCGGAGGGACTTGGAAGATCCATGAATCCCCCTTTCAGGAAAGGTGTTGTCTCTCTTGGTACAGATTCCATAGGGAGGGCCTGTTTAACCTGCTTCTGGCTCTTCATTTTGGGAATGAAGATGAAAACTTAGGAGACACATCCAGAGGACACAGAAGGAACAGAGTATTAATATCTATGAATATGCACATGATAGTTTTGAGTGTCAAACAAGAGATTAGGAGAATGTAACTCCATAAATCATAGATGGATTTCAATGTAAGCTGACTCCATCTTTGGCAACTGCACCTCGTCCAGTTTATATTGGTGAGATTTGGCTTTTGGCAGCTGCCCTCCATGGGGTTAGGTACATAATGTAGGCAGTTGTGCTGAAAACAGGGAGACAGAAACCTTTAAGGGAGGTACTGCTGTTCTGGCAAATGTAAATTGTATGCACAGCTGTCATGTTGGCACCTGTGGTGGGAGGGGGATGGAGTATTTCTTTACTTGGGGGCCACTGATTTACTTACACCCTTAGTTCTAGATAGGTTAATACTGGTGTTTTCTCTGGTACTTTTGGCGCTGCTGTCTGCTGATTTTCACAGTGTCTCCCATGAAACGGACCCCCGTGAGGCCTGAGGCTCCCCGTCATGGGATGGGCACAGTGCCACTCCATACTAGCTCCCCCTCATCTCATCTCTCATCAGCCCAAGTTCCCACTTTGACCATGGCAGTGGTACTGGGTCACTGGGGAATTCAAACTCACAGTCATTAAACTAGCCCACTTATCAATACCTACTGCTGCTTAGTTGGGTGGTGGATGCCAGTGTTTGGGCTCTTAGAATATTCATAGAACCAGCCTTTTGTGGGAAACCACACTGTACACTAAGTGTATGTATGCGTGTATGTGTGGGGAGGAAAGGGTGGGCAGAGTCTTGGTACTTTTCTCCAGGCGGAAGCCCCTACCTCCTTTGAGGACTGTGCAGCTGGCAGATCAGGTAGGGCCAGGGCCCGTTGGGGCAGGTTTGGATGAAGCCCTCCCTGAGCTACTCTTGGGGAGGCCAGGAGAAAGCAGAGTGATTTGTAGGTGGGTGACTAGCCAGCTCCAGAACTAGTCTTACCTGCTCTGTTCCCAGCCCCACTCGCCCCCCTGGTGGACCTTGCCAGGTAGATGCTGCTGAGCACTCACAGTGACATTGCCCTGAGCTTGGGTCACAGATGCCATCCTTGCTCTCAGTCCAGTGGGGAGATGTGGAGCCAACTGGACAGTTAACTGGAGATGTTCCCTGGCAGCCTCTGAGCTGGCAAGAACTTTGGAAACCATAGCACCGAGCTCCCATAAGGATGAGGAAACCATGCTCTGGTGAAGGAGGTGACTTGCTAAACTGTGCATGGCCAATTGATGGTCAGATGGGACAGACGCCAGGTCTCTTGGCCTCTGTCGTACTAACTTGCCTTCCAGTTAATCAAAGTCTGGTGAGGGGAACTTCTTGCAGGTATTGTTCTGATGGGCTATAGACTGCAAGGAACTCTGGGGCATGGGTATGGAGCGGTAAATGCTGGGGGTGGGGTGCAGAGTTACTGTTCTCACAACTATGGGGACTGGGAATGGAGCAGTAAGCTCCCAGGAGTCTTCTAATCCTCCCCATATCAAACTCAGTCTCACAGACTGAGACTCAAGTGATTATGATAACCTGACAAGATACCCTTTTCTTAACTGAGAAGCAGTTTCTAAGGCTGTAGATTGCAATTGAGGTTTATGTGGGTGCCAGTCCCATCTTAAGTATGTAACTGGTAATATATCTGTCCTGCACACCCCTTCCCTGTTTCCTGATTTGCTTAATTGCTGTGATCTGTGTTTAATTATCACTTGTGAGGGTGCTATGTTGCACAACCCTCCTTCCCTTGGTATATATTTATTAAGGGCTTGTTTAATGAGAGAGCAATTAAAGAGAGGGTTCTCAATGTCACTCAAGAGAAAGGAAAAGGAAAGGGTAAGTAAGGAGTACATGAGAGGAGAGGGAAGGGGAGAATGGAGGGAGGCCCCAGGTTTGAACCTGGAACCAGTTTAGTTCTTTTTCTGGAGATGCAAGCCTATGGGGTATCCTCAAACCCTTATGTCTGGCCACCTCTTGGTGAGATCAGAATGACAGGCAGAACCTTGGCACAGATTCTCCCACTTTGCCCTATTGCTGAGGGTATAGGGATCTCTGCATAAGCCATGGGCTGGCCCTGCCAACATACCTGTTCTGTGGCCTGCAAGAGGAGGGACAGGCACACTGTTTGGAGTCGTTTGCAAAGCTGGTTTTTGTTGAGCATTCCAGGATGTCTCAGGGGCATGCTTCTATCCCAGCAAAGCTCCTGGGGGTGGGCAGGAAGCAGGCAGGTTGCCTAGGGAGAGGCAGCTGAAATCTTTCCTTTGTCTCTGGGCCCAGGGGCCTCGCCTGGCCCAGCCCTGCCTCGCACAGCCCCTAGGGCCTGCACCCCAGGAGGGGCCTATCCTGCCGGCCTCAGTCTGCTTTCTGCTGCCCACATTTAACTCTGAGTCTATCTGACTCCCCTGGGGCCAGAGTGTATCAGCTTTCCTGTTAAAGTCAGCCAGTTTCTGTCTGCCATGCCAGGCAAGCCTTTGGAGCTGAACTTAGAGTAGGCGCTGCCCTGCCCCTCTTTCCTTCCCCCACACCGAGTGGGTGTGACCGATGCTTGGATGTGACATTTGCCTTGGAATATCTGATGGTAGCCATTAGATTCCTGCTGGTGTGAGTATTGGATGTTAACATTGGCATGCACTGAATACTTTTTTGCTTTAAGAAAACTTGGGGGGGTCCTTTTTAGACAAAAGTGCAGCAGCTTGATGAGGATGGGGTTGGGCTGAAGACTTCAGAGTATGGCAAACAAAATGGTTACTCTGAGAGTGGACAAATGGTTAGGGCCTTTTAGTGAGCAAAGACAAAACTTTGGGGCTCAGGATTGAATCCTGCAGGCTGATGAATAGAAGTTATTCATCAGTCCCATGGTATCAGAAACAGGTCCCCCAATTCCAAATACACATGGACTCCTTCAAATTCTAGAGTTAGGTTTTGGACAAAGCAAAGGAAGCTCTTCTTTACTCAGGGAAACAGCCAGCCATATGGAAATAATTACCTCCAAGAGGTGGTATGGGTTGCGGGGAGGGGAGTATAAAACAATGTGCAAATGGTCTGGAGACATTCTTGGCTGACATTGGTCATTAAGCTAAGGGTGCTCTGGTTACATCCAGACCTGTGACGGAGGCCAGACCTTTCCCCCTCCCTCCTTTCAATCACTATCTTCCTCTACCTGCAGAGTGCCAAGGTCATGGGGATTGACTCACTGAAGCCCTTCTTGTGTTTTATTATCTCATGTTTTGGCTTTATACCAAAGTGGAGAGGAAGGAAAGACAGCCATCCCTGGTATGGGGATGTGCACACCAGATGTGGTATCTCTGACTTTCTCAAGGTCAGCAGGCAGAGTAGGACCTGTCTTGCACCTGATCAGCCCTCTCCTGGCTTGGTCACCCCCATGAAGCACTCACTGTTCCAGGGGCCTCTATGGGTCCATACCTGCCCATTCTCCTTTCTCTCCCCTCCAGCACAGCCTCACGGGTGAGACTGCAGCAGACAGACCCCTGGGCTCTGTCACGAGCATATGTTCACGATATAGTCTTTCCTATAAGTCAGCTGGGCAACTGCTCAGCCAGATGCCTGCTGAGCTGCCCGGCACCAAGGAATAGACAAGAGTCACATACAGTAACTATGCTATGCACTGAGCTTTTATTGAATGCAGGTTCACTCAAAGTAGAACATCAACATACATTAATATCCTACAATTTAAGGACTCTAACAATCTAAGAGAAATATAACACACACACAGCAATCAATGGGGGATAATAAACATGAGTCCTGCAGTCTCAGTGTGCAGGTCTGGGAGACAGCATGGTGGGCAAGGGAGTTGTCAGCATCTTGCAAGGAAGGATCTCCAGAGCCAGGTGGACAGCAGGCAGGCAAAGTCCTCAGTCCAGCAGGGCAGAGCCTCAGGGAGCCGATGCAGAGGGAGATCAGCGTAGCATGGAGCAGCACTTGGGGGGGGGAGGAGCTCAGCTGTTTCAGCAGTGGTCTGGAACCTGCCTCAGTTATACCTTGACAGTGGTGTACTCCATCCTTCTGGGCCTTTTCTATAAATATCTTGGCACCCCTGATGCCAAGTGTGCAATTTGCCCAGGAGGCTATGGGTGGTCCCGCTCTGCAGACAGGGCTACTCTGATCGTGTGTGCAGATATCTTAAGTGTGTCTCCTTGCCAGATGTGTTTACTCTGACATAGGTAATTTTCCTCTTGAACCAAAGTGTCATGGCTGACTGACAGCCATTTTAGTTGACATAAGTGACTCCACTTTGTTTTATATGCTTTATGCTATCTTGATTGGACCAATGCCATTTTATTGGTCCTGCTCTCCGTCGGCTGTCCTGCACAGAAGCCTCCCAGACACAGCTGCCAGAACTTGCCTAACACTGGGAGGGTGAGCGTGAAAAGGCCAGGCTTGCCTACCTTCTCTGATGCCTTAACTTGGATGAATCTCTGGGCTTCATGGAAACATCTCGGCCTTTCCTTTTTCTCTTCAGTGTACGGTGGGAATGGCAATGCCCCACACTGGGAGTCTGGGAGTTCTGAGTGTATGAGTCAAGTCAGCCACTTAAGCACACTCTAATCAGGTAGAAATGTGCACTGTCATTAGCCAGACCTTAAGGAAATCGTTTTCTCTTCTGTTTTGGACTCTTCTTTTTCTGCTTCTATATATTTAAAGCAGTCAAAAATATTTCACTTTTGATAAGCTCTTGGATATGCCATCCTGGCTGGGAGCAGGGAAGGGATTCAGCCCTGACTGGAGTTGCCCCCATCTCCCCCAGGACCGCATTTCCTCTGCAGGGGTGCCTGTGAGCACGGGGCAGGCTGCAGCTGGGACGTCCTTTGGAGCATGGGCTCGGGCCCTGAAGGGGGCCTGCTGCTCTCAGGATGCTGCTTTCCCCTGACAGCTGCCTGTTACAGCTCTGCACTCTGTTCCTTAGACTGTGGGGGTGATGGGGGTGAGAAGCAGAGCCACGGCCTCTGACCAGAAGGCCATCTTCTAGGCTGAAGGGTGGAATCTTTCTGGTTTCTGTTCTTAGACCTCTGGTGGGGTGCTGCAGGGGTTAGGGGAGCCAAGATAAAAGGAAAATTAGGAGTGCTAAGGAGCGCTAGCCCCGACAGTATCGTTCTCTTGGAGAAGCACTGTCATAGAGTGGTGAAAAGCAAACCTACATCTGAACATTGCTTACTTTACTCACTGAGTGTGTAGCCTTAAGCAAGTAATATCAGAGTCTGTTCCTTCATTTTGAATTTTGGGGATAAAAAGAATAGTTACCTCATAAGATTAGTGTGAGGATTAAAGGAGACATTGTATATAAAATGCCTGTCCTTCCCTGACCAGTCTGGCTCAGTTGGTTGGACATTGTCCTACAAAAAGTTGCTGGTTCAATTCCCACTCAGGGCACATGCCTAGATTGTGTGCTCAGTCCCAGGCTGGGGTGTGTGCAGAAGGCAGTTGATTGATGTTCCTCTCCCTCTCTTTCTCCCATGTCCTCTCTCTAAAGATGAATAAATAAAATCTGAAAAGGAAATAAAAGTGAATAAAATGCCTGTCCTATCTTATAGTAAATACTCAGATTCGCCTTTATTATGTGGCCCTGGGCAAGATACCTAACTTCTTGGAGCCTCTGTTTCATCACCTGTGAAATGAGAAAGACTGTACCTACCTTTTGGCATTCTAATAAAAGTTGGAGTTAATATGTAAACATCCTATGGCACAGTGGTTCTTAAAGTGTCCTGCTGACCACAGCATTCCCTGGGAACATTTTAGAAGTGGGAATTCTCAGGCTCATCCTAGAGCTCCTGAATCAGAAACTCCAGATGTTGGGCGAAGCCAGCTGTAGCCATCCTCCAGGTGATTCCGATGCTCTCTCAAGTTTGAAAGCAACTGCTTTATAACAATTTCTGGCACACAGGAGCTGACCTAAGAGTGAGGGATAATGGAAATAACCTCTCAGCACTAATTGGAAACCTGGTGGACAAATCCTGCTATTTTAAAATGTATTACCTTGCTTTGGGGTGATAGAAATATCTCTCATTGATCTCAGGCAAATCACCTAACCTCCTATGTTCAGTTGTCTCATCTGTTATATAGAGCCATTATAGTACTTCACTCATAATGTGGGTGTGAGGATTAAACATGCCTGGCATATAGTAAATGCTCAATAAATACATACAACCGGTCCTCGAATTAGGTCATTTCATTCAATGTCGTTCTGAGACAACATAAATAAGATGGCATAGGAATTAACTCCTGTTTATACCAGCTGTCTTATGGTGAGTTGGTTTCGTTTTGCATTGTTTCGCTTAAAGTCACAGAACTTATGGACGATGAGAAGTGAGGACTTCCAGTGTTAGCTATTATCAACAATGGCAGGAGTCATGACTGGGTTTCTGGACCATGGGGCCTTATTTCCGAGCTTCGAGGTAAGAGCATACCACTTTGCCTTCAGAAGCTAAGGTGAGATGAAGAGCTGAGGGAGCCCTGGGAGCAGGGGCTAGGCTGCCAACTCTCCTTGGAGCTACTTCACTGTAATTCACGAAGCATTGCTCAGGTGCACCACGCATCCTTATCTCCTGTGGGCGAAGCAAGAGGAAACTGGTTTATGATGCACTCCAATACCATGAAGTTTGACTAACGAGGTTCTTCCTTGAGAGTGAGGATGGGAGAAAGAGCAAGGTCGGTGACCTTTGAAACAAAGACTGACCCAGGCTGGCTTGGAAACAAGAACAGTTCTGAGATTTGCCTGCAGAGCTGGGAGCTGACCTCGGCTAAGAGGGGTTCCAGTGGGCCCAACCACTAAACCCAGTCAGCTCAGCCAAGTCTCCTCCCATATGGAGCTTTGGTTGTTCTGTCTCTAAACTGAAGCAGTGGAATTAATGGATCAGTGTGGGCCCTTTAGCTCTAAACGGCTGGCTGGAGGTCCAGATTGTTGAGGGAAGCCCAGTCTAAGAAAAGTCAGGGAAACTTTGGGATAGGAGGGAGGGCAGCCAGGTGGCTTTGGGCAAGCCACTTTGCTCTGCTGAGCCTCACTTTTCCCACTCATAAAATGTGATTAGTAACACCCACCTTACAGATAGGAAGTGAGAAGGAAATGAGACTACTCATGTGTAGCACTTCGCAAGAATCTGGGTTCAGGAAAGGGGCATTATTCTCAAGGGCCACTAGGAATGTAAGCAGGGCCCCCTCTGAGTTCTCACCCAGGGTGACTACTAGCACCATTTTATCTAGTGGCAAGGAGAGGTGGCGTCCAAATCTGACCCTCTCCTCCCAAGGTCTTAATGTGCCATGGGGTTTTCTTAAGGACTTTGTAGGCTAGGAGGAAGGCCAGGTCCCCTTATAAGGACTCATGAGGTGGCTCCCAGAAGCCATGAGTGTGTCAATGTAAGAAACATTCAAATGTGTAGAGAATTTTGTGAGTTTATTTGAGCCAAACTGATGAGAATTGCTGGGACACAAAATCTCAATGGATTGAGGAAATGCTCTGGGAAATGGCAGTTTTGCACCTTACTTTATTCATTACAATAAAAAAAAAAGTAAAGGGGTTACATGGAAGCCATTGGTGACAGATTAGGGATTAGGGAGGCAGGAGAAAGCATAGTGGAAGGGAGGACCTTTGGGACTGGATAAAAAGTAAAATGATAGACACATACTTCTTTTTGATAGGTGGGTACAGGATAGTTAGCAGTTGGCACTTAACATGGAGGTATGTTATCAAAGATGCAAAAAGACAACAGACAGGCTTAATTAAGGTAAAGATTGACTTTTGTCAAGGAAGATTCGAGCCTAGGACATGACTACTTGCCATAAACTGCTTTTAGTTAATATATTTTAATTTCAGACCATCCTTTGCTGTTACTTTAGGACTCTGAGTTTGTAAAGCCATCGCTCAGCGCTCCCCCACCCCACAGCTGTCAAGTTGGCATGTGGCCGCCTTTCTCCCACGAATGAAAACTCATGGTTTCCACTTGCCCAAAAGACAGGGATGGTATTGGTATGCTGGTAAATGGGTGTGGGTGTGGGTCTGGAGGGGGACAGAGGGAGCTCCCTGGACCATCCCAGGAGGGGCCAGAGTGGGGCTGTGGGGTGGGGAGGCAGGACAGGCTACTCTAGGTCAGGAGGGGACAGAGGGTCCAGCGCCCTTTTGGCGCCATCCCCTACTTGCATGCATTCAGGTTGCCCCAGAATCTGCCTTCCCAGTGTGCCTTCAGGCCTCTTAGGAAGTTTCTCTCCCTGATCGGTTTAGTTGGTCTGCCATTGCTGCTGCCCAATGCTGAGACCAGGCCCATTCTCACTCCCCTCACCACGCAGTCCGTCCTGGCCTGTCAGTTCTGTTCTCAGGGTTCTGTTCGGTGGCCAGAGGGCTTTGGACTCAGATGGTATAGCAAGGCCCATCATGAGTGTCCCTCAGACCCTCTGCCCCTCAGGGCCTGTGGGAGCCTCCAGGGCTCCAGGACACAGAACAGTGTCTGGGTACTGTGGCTGCACTTTGATTTTTTCTTCGCTGTGTGGAGCCTCGCTCCATGCTCCCCACTCCCCACCCAACCTGGCTCCAATCCTGAAAACGTAAAAGTGGAGGCCACTTACTGTTCTAGGGAAAATTCCTGCGGCAAATCGAAGGAGGCAGTCCTGCACTTGGGACAGGGACACTGCATCACAGCAAAGGCCTCATTTTCTGGGGTTGGGGTGACCCCTCGTGGTCATTCAGAATGTCACAAGGGCTAAGTGGTCCAGAATTCAATTCTGCCCAGGCCAAGGGTGGGGGAAGAAAATGGAGAATTAAGGCCGATTTATATGTACAACCAATGGACATGAACTAAGTGGGGGGATGCTGGGGGAGGAGCGGGGCGGTGTAGGGTGGAGGGGAAAAAGGGGAGAAAAAAATGGGACAACTTTAACAGCATAATCAATAAAATATATATTTAAAAATATAAAATAAAATGTTTACAAAAAAAGAGAGAGAGAGAGAGAGAGAGAGAGAACTAAGGCTGATAGCCCTGGTAGTGTCAACTGAAGAGCATCATCTTCTTGAAGTTGAATCTGAGGGTGAGTGGAACACCCACCACCCCAGCTGAGACTCCCCTTCCAGAGCTCCAGCCTGGAGGTTCCAGTTGGGTTTTCTTAAGAGAGGTGGTGCTCCCTCATGCAGGTTTCTTCATGCTCCCTGTGTCGCTGTCGCTGGAGGTATCTGTGGGAAAGGCCACTGACCTGTACGCTGTCAACGGCACGGAGATCCTGCTGCCCTGCACCTTCTCCAGCTGTTTTGGCTTCCATGACCTTGGCTTTTGGTGGTCCTACAACAGCAGTGATACATTCAAGATTGTAAGTAGTGGCGGAAAGGACAGGATAGGACAGGTCAGATTCTCGTGTCCTCCCTTCCCTGTCTTTGGAAACTGACCCCACTGTGTAGGTCCCCACGACTCACCTTTAGTCATTCTTTCTCCCAGTCTTTGCAGCGTCTACGTAGAAAAATCTAAGTGGGAGGGATGTTTGAATCATGTTGCCAGAATTTGGGATCTGTTGCAGTTCTTGGCTGGAGTCCTCTGTTTGGTCTGAAGGAATACCTGAGACTTGTTGCTTGTGTAAAATCTAATAATTTAATTTATGAAATAAGAGAGAGACAGACCTTTGGAAGACTTGGAGAGAGGGAATGAAGAGTCCTAATGGGAGAAGGGCAGGGGAACTGGACTTGGAAAGAAGCAAGAGGGACCTGGGAAAAGAACTAGATCTGTAGGAACATTCACAGGGCTGTGGGTAGAGATGGGTCAACTAACAGGTGTTTATTGAGGACTCTGCAATCTAGTAAGGACCATAGAGACAAACATAGGGAAGCCACAAGTGACCAACTCAATATAATCAAATGGTGAACTTGGAGGGTGCTGTAGGATTGATCTATGTCTTAATGGAGGGCCTCAATTTAGATGGACAGGGAGGGGATACAGGTCAGCAAAGGCTGGAGGAGTGGCAGAGGGGGGTGAGTGTGGTATTTGCAGGAGTTGTTATGAAACAACTTTTAGGAAGAAAGCAGCAAGAGCTGGGCTACATCTCGGGGAGACTTCAAAGAAAGAGTATGGGTTTAGCCTGAAGCAAAGGAAATTCAGGTTAGACTGGCAGAGCTAGTGAGACTTGAAAAGAAAGCAGGAGGGAGGGACCACTTCTGAGATAGGGCAGGGGCCCAGGGAGTGGGCTGGAGTGATGTCATGACCCTTGAGGACCCCGATTCTTTCTTGTCCACTGTCTCTCCCCCGTATACCTCTCAGCTCATCAACGGGACTGTGAAGACTGAGAAATCTGACCCCAAAGTGCATTTGAAAATTGATGACCGCATCTCTCTGGAGGGCTCCACCAAGGAGAAGATGAACAACCTTTCCATTCTGCTGAAGGACCTGGATTTCAGTGACACGGGCAAATACACCTGTCACGTGAAGAATCCCAAGGAGAAAGATCTTCAGCATCAGGCCACCATCTTCCTCCACGTGGTTGATAAACGTAGGCAGTGAGGACAGAGACAAGGGCAGTGGAATGGGAAGGTCTAGAGGGTACCCAACTCGATGTTATAGTGAAATGGTAAAATGGACCAAACTGGTGTTTTCTTTCACTTTACTCTTTCAAGAGTTAAAGGAGTTACATCTAGAACCTCACAAAACTTAGCCTGAACACTTACTCTGTGACCGAATAGCTTATAAAATACACTTAGCTCCTCTGAGCCTCATTTTCTTCATCTGTAAAATGGGAACATGGTTGCATTCTCCTAGGGTTGTTGTGAGAGTCAGAGAAGCTCCATGGGAGGGTTTTGTGGTGGGTAAAGCTCTCTCTGTAAATGCTGGTTATTACTACTCTTGTGTATTCCTTTAGCAAAAGTTGATTGAATTTCAGGTATTCAGGTAGTACCACAAAGTGCTATAAATGCTACACAGGGTTCTTACTTGAGGGATTTACAGTTCAGGGTGGGACAGAAAATAGGGTGGGCCAGAAAGCTGAAGTAGAGGTAGAACATGTAGAGATATAGAAGTGTAGAGCACACTTCTCTTTTTCCACCAGCCCACCACCCACTCACAGAATGGACTGGTAAGAATGGTCTGGCTTCTCTGGAGCTTAAATCCCCGTTGAGCATTCTAGTCTGATACAGGTGGGAGAATTAGACAATGAAGAAGCATGTGATAAAGAGCCAAATAGTCACATGACCCAGACACTGAAGGTGGGGCTAGAGGAGTTAAGCTGGGTTTTGTGGAGGGGGAGCCTGGATGGCTAGGAAGATGCAGAAGCAGGAAAAAAGGGAAGGGACCTTGCTCAAGGGTCCTGATTGTGCTGTGTTCCATGTGTTCTGGGGCTTCACTGCTCTCCAGGATGACATGGAATGCCTGGAGCAGGACATGCTCATGAATTCATTGTTGGCTGTAGAACAGAGCCAGAGGCCATCGGGCAGCTTGCTGTGAGACTGGAGTCCGTCATCTGAGTCAAGTCTGCATACGGTATCACCTCTTCCTCTCTGGATGTCACCCACTTTGTGCTTAGCCTTTTCAGGAGGGAAGAGAAGGGGAAGGGAACCAACATTTATGTAGCATTTCTGAGTACCAGACACTAAGTTAGGTGCTCTCAATTTTCGTGTGCTCCTTTGCTGCTCAAGCTGATCTTCTCTTCATTTTTACAGATTCATTCATCTATTTGTCAGCAAATATTTATCGAGCACCTTCTGTGTGGCAGAAGTTGCATTCTAGGTGCTGAGGTTATAGCATGCACAAAATAGACAAATTCTTGCCCTTATGGAGATTATCTTCTAGTTGGGGGAGATATACAGAAAACAAGATAAAGAAGAATGGCTCATGGTAGGGAGGAAAAGTAAAACGGGGAAGGAAGCATGTGGAAGCAGGGTCACTAGGGAAGGCCTCACTGGAAAAGGTGACATAGAGTAAGAACATTTGAAGGAAGTGGGAGAGGAAGAGGCTGTGAGGATGTCTTTGGGAAGATAGTCCAGGCCTAGGGAACTGCAAGTGCAAAGGCCCTGAGGCAGATACTTGAAAAAGGAGGAGGCCAGTGTGGCTGGAGCAGGGCAAGTAGTAAGAGGTGAGTCAAATTAAGCCAGACTGTGTGGGTCTCTGCAAGCATGAATGAGATGGGGGCCACTGAAGAACTCTGAGCAGAGTTAATACTGGAATAGGCTCCCTCTGGCTGCTGTGTGGAGGACAAACGGTGGAGTGAGGAGTCCAGTTTGGAGGCTACAGCAAACATTTAGGCAAGAGATGCCAGAGTGGTGGTTAGGGGTCAGATTCTGGATTTTTTTGTAATTAGGATCATCAGGATTCTTAGGTGGATTGGATATGGGGTTTGAGAAAAAGAGAAGAATCAAGGATAAGTCCAGGGAGTTTGGTCAGAGCAACTGGAGAGATGGAATATTTTGAATGAAGACAGGGAGGCTGTGCATAGAGCAGGTTTGTGAAGAAGGTGAGAGTTCAATTTTCAGATGAGGAAACAGAGGCAAGAAGGGCTGAATGATCTGCCCAAGGTTCCAGCATGTTAGTGACTGCTGAAATCCTGTAATTAAAATCCAGACTGACTCCAAAGTCTTCCCACCACATGAACGATGTAGGGAGAGCCTTAATTTTTTTTTCTGCACAGGCGAAAAAGACCTAGAAAGGGGCAATGATAGTTTCATGGGGCAATTTGGGGGCCTGGAGTTTGAATTATTTTAGAACCTGTACATATGTCTGTGGGAGGATGTGTGGGGAGTGGGGGAGAAGAGGGGCCCCCTTGTGTGTTGTGTTATCCTGGTGGGTGCCATGTTCCAACCTCTCCTGCTTCCTGCTGTGAGACGCAGTGGCGGGGGTTGGGGGCCAGGGGTGTGGGGGGTAGGGAGACATGTCCCAAATACTGGGGTTGGAGGCTGTGTAGTCACGTGGCGCTTGGCTCTAGGTGACTCCTGTTCCCCTTGTTCACTCCCTTCTCTCCTGGCTGTGCCCATGTAGTGGAAGAAGTGGACAACACGGTGACGCTTATCATCCTGGCTGTCGTGGGCGGGGTCATTGGACTCCTTATCTTCATCCTGCTGGTCAAGAAACTCATCACCTTTATCCTCAAGAAGACTCAGGAACAGAAGTGAGTTGGCGCCAGAGCACACTTCTCTTTTTCCACCAGCTCACCACCCACTCACATCTCTTGCGTGTTCCCAGCATCCTCTAGTTCCACTCTCACCTGGTTCCATCAGTCTTTATCCTTCCATACATCCCCTCATTCCACCCTATCTTCTTAACTCTACCACTCTCTGTCCTATCCCTGTAACCCTCCTCCCCTCTGCAAACCTCATTCCCTATTCCCCATCCTCCCAAAAGGTATTTATTGAATATGTTGAATTCATTGAGTGCATGACTACAACCTATTTACTCCTTCCCATTCCACTGTCTTTCTGCCCATCCCATTAGCCTCTCTCTTCCTACTTGTACTACCGCAGCCCCAAGTCCTACTAGAGTATTTAGGAAGCCCTTTTGGTTTAATTCAGAGAAAATATCAGATTCCATGTACAGAAACTCTAAAATAGGAAGACCTTTCTGGAGGCTTGGGAAGTTTTTCTGTGACATTCTGAAAATTCAAATGGGGGATATTAAGAAATCTAAAAAGGCTGATATTGCTTTCTAGGAAGCTTGAGGTTAAATTCAAACATAAAATAGACATCTCTAAGGGGGAGGGGAGGGAAGAATTGTCAGAATAGGTGGAGACTGTTGCAATACCTGCCCAGGGAAAAGACACTGAAAGTGTGTTCTTAGCAAGAAAGATGAGGGGAGGCAGGCCTGCCATTGGAGCAGAGAGGTGACAGTAACGGGGAGGTAGACAAGGAAGGGAAAGCTTCTTTGCTTCTGTTTGCTTCATTCTGCTTGGCTGAGGAGACGGAATTAGTCTGGGAAGGGCAGAAATTACATCGATGAGAGGAGAAGAAGGCTGAAGGCAGGGAAGATGTTAAGGGTGTTGGGGTGAGGAGCCACTGGGCGCCCTGTCCCAGGTCCTGGCTGAGATGAAGAACCTTTGAGTTGTCTCCCTGCATCATGGCCAGAGGCTGTGAAGGGTTTGGAAATCTTCAGAGGGGCCAGGAGCATAGAACAGGACCAAATTTTGTTGTTAATAACCAATGTTACTATTAATGGTGAGCAAAATTGAAGAAGGATGTATTTAACGTATGGTTTAAAAGCACTTAGAAAAGAAAACAATGACCCTTGGGTGCCACCATAGGTTCACTGAAAACAAGACAGGCTAACTGTTTTCTTGCTCGGGCAGTGGTGGATCAAGAGACTGCCACAGATTCTAGCACCTCCTGTCATTGACCAAATGCCTACAATGTGTCTCCAGACATTTTTATGTAATAATTATAATTTCCATTTTACAGTTGAGCAAAGCGAAGCTCAGAGTGGTTAAGTGCCACTCTGCCCAATGCCAGACAGCTAGTAAGTGATAGAGCTGGGATTGGAACCCTGGATTGTTTGGGTTCAAAGCTTGAACCATTGCCGTTATCCCCTACTGATTCATGAAGTATATCTAGAGCTCATGCATTCATTCTTTCAATCAGTGGCTATTTTTGAGGTACTGTGTGCAAAGGCACTGTGTCAGGTGCTGTAGGAAATTCTGGAAGGAATGACAGTCTGCTCTTAAGTGAAGGATGTGTACACAAGTAAATGTAATAGAAGGTGGAGGGGATCAGTGGCAACAAAGAGGTGTGATAGAATGCTGCAGGGGCTCAGAAGAGGGTGGAATACTAAGGAAGAATTTCTGGCCTAAGGGAGTCTGTGGTAGGCCTTGATAGGTGGATATAATTCATGCCCTGGGGAGGGTGAAGAGAAGGCTGCTTCAGATGGGGGAACCACCGAGAGAGAAGGCAGAAAGTCTAGGAAGTGGGCATGCGTCTGGAGAACAAGGCACTGCGTTTGTTGGCGTTGGGGGCGGAATAGGATTGGAAGGAAGGGGACAAAAACCCTGTGGAAGGGGTTGGTGACAGGCACTTGGGGACCTGGGAGTCCAGGCTGAGATTGGCTCTCCTGACTGTAGGGGAGCTGGTTAGGGCTTGCAGGGCCTGGTACAATCAGAGGCCTTCAGAAGAAAGGGTCTGGCCACAGTGGGCAGATGGACTGTGTGGGGGAGGCTGGAGGCAGGCCCTGGTGAAACCCGAGAAGGGTCTTCTGAGTGGCAAGGAAAACCAACATTAAGAGCAGAAATGGAGTGTCCTCCTGAGAAGAAGGAAGGTGTTGGGCGGCTTCACATCATCAGTTCCGGGCTTTCGCATAAGGGTGTGTGGTTCCCTCTGTCTGAAATGTCTCCTCCCTATTTTCCTGCTCATCTTTCTTGGTCTCAGCTTAAGTGACACTTCCAAAGAGCCTTCCCTGATCTCTAGAAGGAGCCTTTCTATATTGAGTCCCTCCTTGGTGTACCTTTTTCAATATCAAATTCCATGAAAAGTCACACATTTTCTGAGGGTAGGTACCATGTAAAATTGCCTACCTTTCTAGTCTTACAGTGCCTGGTACCCAGTAGGTTCTTGGTGAAGAAATATGGATGGTTAGGTAAATAGGAATTGGCAGGTTGACTAGATAGACACTAGATAAATAGATAGACAGACCCATCTCAGTAGAGGTCTTTAGCAGTGTGTCACAGGATCTGCTTGTTCATGGTTATTAAGATTTGAACTACACTAGGAATAATATACTTAACTGAATTTCCAGGAACCTAGTGACCATATTGGAGAACAAATTTGGGATCTAGAAGATCTTGATAGGTTGGGTGAATTTCTGCAAGATGAAACTGATGCTGACAAAATGTGAAGTCTTTCCTGAGGGACTCAAACCTAACTATGCAAGCCCAGGGCAAGGCTAAAATGTAGTTTAGCAACAGCAGCTATGGAAAAGCCTTGCACATTTTCAAGAGCAGAATGGGTGTGGCGCAGCAGTTAGGTCTTCCCTGGAGGCCTGGGCACTGCTGTTGAGGTAGGATGAACTGAAATAGGAGCATGTTGAGCACAGGCAGTCAGGGTGGCCATGCTCCTGGACAGTGTATTCCCATCTAAGCATTTTTCCATCCTGCTGCCTTCTGCACTGTCCCACCTGCATCTGCGCACACTTGCCATCCTTTGTGCAGAACCCGTGCTCTGCCCCTTCCCTGCTCTTCTTCCACAGTGGGTTCCAGGATGAAGGGCGTGCTGGGGCCCTGGGGGAAGGGCTCTTTGCCCTTGGCCTACTGCGCCCGGCCTGGACCCTTTCCCTGGGTTGGCATAGCATGGGGATTACCCTGGTTTGGCTTCCTCTCAGCACTGACACCTGGGAACAGGGCCTGACATCCTTGCCTCCTGCCAAGCCGAGATGACTAGGTGATGGCTAGCCTTAATGAGTGCTTTCCATGTGCCAGGCGCCATTGTAAGTGCTCATTGATTCTTCCTAGCAACCCTGTAAAGAAGGTGTCATTGTTACAGCCATTATATAGATGAGGAAACTGAGTTACAGTGCTTAGGCAACTTGGCCTCTGGCTACCTAAACTCTAAGGAAGGCCAGGGAGAGAGCTGGGTGCAGGGGGCCATGGCTCCCCATCCACAGTGTATCCAGTACTCTCGCTTCTCCTCTCACCAGTGCCCTTCTCTCCTCCCTTTCTCTCCAGGAAGGAGTGCCTTGTAAGTTCCTCAGGGAATGACAATACTGAGAATGGGTTGCCGGGCTCCAAGGCAGAAGAGAAACCACCAACAAAGGTGTGAGCCCCAGCTTGGGGCCAAGCAGCCACGGAGAGCCTCACTTTCTGATGATGAAACATGCTTGAGCCGTGTCTGTGAACCCACGTGCCTGAGACATCTGCTGCTTGGCTGAAACTGTAGTTTTTCTGAGCGGGGAGAAAATGGGGTCTTGTCCAGCCTGCCACCTCCCTTCCCCAGCCAGGGCTTCCCAGGGATAAGGGTTGGTGGGGGGTGGACAGGCAGTGGAATGTTCAGGAAAGAAAAGAAAGGGCTCAGAGGGTGGAGGGTCTGTCCCCCCAACACCTAGGTAGGTGGTTCTCCTTAAGTCTCTCCGCCCTATAAGAACAATGCCTGGGTTTTCCTCCAGATTTCTCTTCTAGAGAGACTTGGGGGACCAGTGAGGGCTGCCCCAGTAGCTGGGACCTGTGTGTGGAGTACTAATCTTTGTGATGGTGGGAGTGGCCTAGAGGGCCCTGTGCAGGATCTGAAGGTGGGAGGCTACTGGAGGGGGGCCTACAGTGAGAGGCTTTGATGGATTCCTGGCCCCCCATGTTCCTCTGGTGAGGCACTTCTCCTTATCCCCCTGACGGCAGGGTGCTTCCCTGCCTTGGGCCCACAACCCCTACTCTCCCCACCCGTGCTGCTCTGGACCCTGAAACCTCTTAACTGGGGCTCACTGCTTTGGTGTTGGGGGGGTCCTGGCCCACCTAGCCTGCTCCTCTGATATCTTGGTTCCTGAGAGGCTCATGAAGGGGCCTCCTGGGCCTTTCTGAAGCACTGGGGTGCTGCCTACCCCTTCCCTAGCATTTCAGAGCTGCGGAGGAGGGAGAGCCAGTGTCCTGGGCCTTGTGGTTACTGGAATGCCTACTCCAGCCCTCCTACTGCTGGCCACCATTTTCCTTGGCATGGCAGGACCATTGCCACTCCTGGGAACTCCCAAGTCTGGTTCTGCCCTGCTCTTTCCCTGACATGACAGATGGCATCATCTTGCTTGAGATGTTACACCTTCCCCTCCTGCTGGCTTGCTCCTCCTGTGGCCTCTGCCACACCTTCTCCCCTGGCCCAGGGTTGCCCTGACCCAGTGTTGTTTCCAACCCTGGGTTAAGGGCTTGCCTTCAACTCAGGGATTCTCTTCCTTTGGATGAGAGGGCCCTTGGGTTTTCTGGCTGCTTCCTGCCCAGCTATGCCACCCTCTCTTCCATCCTAGGATAGGGGAGGAGCAGGGAGAGAGTGCCGCAGGCTTCCTTTGCTTTTCCAAGAACTGGTTTACACACCTCTGTGTGGGGGGCTAGACTGTGCCTTAGCTCCTGGGTCCTAGCTCCCTCCCTCCCTCTTCAGCCCATACATAGCAGCCACCTCTGGGGTGGCACTGGTGAGGGGTCTCCAGTGGCCCTCACCCAGGGTCATGCAGTGGACCAGGGAGCTGGAGTTGTGTCACCAGTGGCTCCAAGACTCAGTCGGTCAGTGACTGAGTCTTGGAGACACCTGCCAAGTACTCCCATGGGGGTCCCTGACAAAGGATGTAGTAATTTTGGGAGTGGGCCCTCCTGATGGAAGCCCCCTTGTGTTGTCCCTGTGGAGTAGAAATGGAGAAGTGAGAGATAGCCTGGAGCTCTGATAATGAGGGTCTCTACCATCTGCTCCCTCGTTCTCTTACTGAATTTCTGAGACTTGTTCTCTGGGCCCCTGGGAGGGATGGGGGAGTAGCCCCTTCACCAGAGTGTACGGATGCTGCCTCAGGGCTCCTCCTTCCAAAAAGCAGCAGCAAGCTTCCACAAGGGTGGAGATGGGGGGAGAATGTGAATCGGCAGCACCTGCGGGCACCAGGACTGTGGCCGGTGGCCTGTGCTTAACCTATGTGTCCATAAGGTCCTATTCTGATCTGCCTTTGTCCCTTCTGCACTTTTGCACCCAGAACTCAGCCTGGGCTCTGGTTCAGATTTTCCTGGTTTTGGGAACAGACAGACCAGAGCCACTAGCTATTCAGAAAAATTTTATACCTACCATCATGCAAAACTGCTTTCTCTCTTCCCAGCTTCAGCATTTGGTTGGGCAATGTCTTGGGCTCCCCTTACTGAGGAAAGGCATATTTGAGAGGCGGCCCAGGCACAGAGAGCTGGGAGAGGGGGCTCATCATCCTTTCCACTCTTGCCTCTATTGCTGCCTAGTAAGTGGGTCATGCATCTTCTCAGGGCTCAGCTTTTTCCCCATCTGTAAAATGGGTGTAATACTACCTACCTCACAGGATTGTTGTGAGGCTTGGCAGATTTTTGTTTAAAAAAGTTTTTGGACTTCGACAGGGATCTAGGAGGCCAGCCAGGTATTACAATTGGCGGGATGGTTCCAAGTTTGTCCCGTCCTCTTCTCTGCGTCACATCCCTGTAACTTTCTCTCTCTCTCCCTCCTCCCCCCACCTCCCCCACCTCTCTCCATTTCTTCCTCTCTTCTTACTTTCCCTCCTTGGAATTAGGAATTGTTTTAGTCTCTGTGATGTTAGAGACCTTGGCTCTGATGCTTAAAGCTTCTTGTCCATGGCTTTTGGTTAGTGGCTTTCGAGAGGTGATTGAGACTGTAGGGGTCACTTTTAGTTGCCCCAATGCCTGGGATTGTCTACTGGCACTTTGTAAGTGGGGACTAAGAAATCTAAGTTAAGTCCCCACAACAAAGAATTGTCCTGCTCCAATCCTGGGATTATACCCATAGAGAAACACTGACATCGATTTGAAGTAGAACACAAAGCCACTTCGCCATGCAGACCTTCTGTGTATGCCGGTCTCCAAGGTAATGTCCAGGGCTGGTGAGGGTGTTTTCAGGACTTGTGGGCTAGACAGAACGATTTATGAAGTGGGTCTTGGGAGCCCTGGACACATGCAGCTATGCCGACTGTAAAGTGAATGAGGCCAAAGACAAAGTCTTTCTCAGATTCCCATCCTTGACCTCAAAACAGGGCCTCAGCATTCCAGGCTTTGGGTTTCTCCTCATGTAAAAATTGAGCAGAAGGCAGCCAGAATGAACCTGTGATGCTAGAGAGGCCTGGGAGAGCAGCCGATGGAGCTCAGACTTTTCACATCCAGCTGGTTCACCAGAGCTGGAGGTGAAGTAAAGGTGTGAGAGTATATTCCTGAGATGGTGACAGGTGAGGGTGTGCTTGGTAGGCAGGTCATGCATCTTCTCTGGGCTCAGCTTTCTGTATATATAAAATGGAGGGGCATGGAATGTGCACGTGGAAATGTATGACTGCAGAGTGGGCAGGCTCCGCAGGGACGGGATGTGTGAAAGCTAAGCGTGTCCGAATTGGGAAGACACTTCAGGAGCTACTTCCCTGGCCTCAGCTATACCTGTTGGGGCACCTGGAGGCTGGGAAAGGCCAAGAAACAGAGGGGAAGACCAGCCGTACTCCTGGGCTCCATAACTCCATGGCTCCATCGTACTGTCACAGACAGCTGCCGTCAGAGGACCGAGGCAGGGCTGGGGAGGGGGTGGCAGAAGAGGAAGCGCTTCTCTGGAAAAATCTGTAGCTTGCTTTACTTTACCTTGTCCCAGGTTGGAGTCCCTACCCTCTCACATCCTACCTGATATGCAGTGCTTTGGACTACTTTATGCATGCTTTATTCCTCTGGATTGGATGACAACAATATCCACAGTCAATTTCCTATATAACTATAGATCAAAGTGATGCAGCAGGGGGCCTTGGGAGGCCTCAAGTCCAAGTGCCTCCGGGGCGGGGGGCACAGCTGTGCACAAAAATTCAGCACTTACTTTTGTTCAAGCACAGAATGGCTGTGATCAGACTGTCTTACCTTTACAACATTTTTGCATTGCAGACTTTTTATTTAGCTTTGCTTTGGATGAAATAAAAATTACATTGAATAGACATGGCCTGTGGTCTTTATTTTTGGCTAATTGGGAATTGGGTTCCAGTTTTGTTACCTGCCAGCTGTAACTGGGATGAGTTTCTTTACTTCTGTGAGACCCAGTCTCTGTGTCTAAATTGTTACTTGCCTAGGTGAGATATCGCATATAAAAGGCCTAAGAAGGTCTGGCATAGTCACAGGTACCCAAATCATATTAATGCCGATACCGTCTCTGGAGAGGTAGGAATGGTGGGAATTTAACACTGAAATCATTGCCAGGACCCTCCCTGTGTTAATGTCCTAGGTAAAAATTCTGGTAGCACTAAATGTCATCATACCCCTTTCTCAGGCTGCCCCTAACCCCAGCTTTACATTTGGATCCAGGCGGAATCTGCTTCTAACGAACAGAGGCAGCTTTAAAGAGGAAGAGCACAAAACAGCTTCCTGACTGGAGTCTATTGGCACAGCGGGCTTTGCATGGCTGGTCCCTCCAGCTTGCTGTTCCCGGGGACAAGATATCTGGGGGTGGGGGAAGAAGGAAGTTTAGGCTTATACCTCAGGAGTGACCCTACCCATGCACATTTCATATGGTCCATCTTAAGTTATTTTAACAGAGATTACCCAAGCACTCCTGCTTTCAGAAGAGTTTCTAGCTGCTGGGCATAAGGCCAGGCCGAGAAGGAATTGGGGATGCGTGCGCATGTGTGCCTGCTTATACTCTTGGACTTTATCATACCACAATTTCTCAACATACCATATTCTCCTCTTCAGCAGATTCATCTCAGACTGCTTTTCACAGTTGCAGTTGGTGGATGGGGAAGGAGCAAAGGAAACTGTATTGCAAGTTTCATGGACCAGGCCTGGAAGATGGTCACTTCATTCTGCCCCTGTGCTCTCCTAAAGGGAGACTGGCAAATGTAGTCCCTGGGTGCCAAGCAGAACAAGGAAATGTGTTTGGGTGAGCACAGAGCAGTTTGTGAGATGACAGACAGGACTGCAAGAGGTTCAGCTGCAGCTGAAGCATGGATAGCGAGGTGGGGAATGGGGAGGAGGAGGTGGGAAGCAGGCAGGGTAGGCAAGGTCTAGATCATGCAGGGCTTACAGGCTGTGCCACAGAGTTTATATTTTATTTTGTAGGCCATGGGAGCCATGGGAAGATTTCAGGAGGTGAGAGATGGGACTGAGTTGGAGACAGTAGGCAAGGAGAGGGTGAGAATGTGGGGCCAATGCAATGGCTCAGGCCAATGTGGCTTCTCGGGTCAGAGGTACGGTAGGAAGAGAATGGGGTGAAGTGCAAGGGCTGACATAATTTAGGAAGTTGAATATCCAGAGCTTGATTTCTGGGGGCTACGAGAAGAAGGTGGTTACGATGACTTCTAAGTTTTTCCTGTAGATGACTGGGTACCTAGAGGCAAGTTTACCCTGAAAGGGAACTGAGGAGAGCAGCATATTGGGGGGTGGGGAGGAAAGGTTAAGTTCATTTATGAAAATGCTGCATTTGCCCACAGCATGCCAGAATAGTAAACAGTTCAAAACAAGAGTCTAGAACTTAAAAGTAAGGGGTTTGTTCAGACTGTGGGAAAGATGGGCTCTAACATTCAGGGGCTGGTTGGATGAGGGGAGGTCACAAAGCAGGCTGGTGAGGAAGGGCAAGCAGAGTGACATTTTTGAGGTCAAGAAGTGTTTAGAAAAGAGTGTCCCTTCTTGACTTAAGGACCAGACCTCACGAAGGCCGTTGGTGACTCCGGCGAGCTCAGCGAAGTGGAATGGGATGACCAGGAAAGGCATGCAGCAGAAGTTTGCTTCCAGGGTATGCATGCATCAGCAGGGTCGGGGAGTGGCACCAGAGCATGAGGTTACAATTTCAAGTAACTTGGCTGTGAAGGGTAGAGAGAGAACTGGCCCAAGTAGGAAGAAGGGTGGATGGTTTCCTTTTTAAGATGGAAGACATAAAAGCAGGGTTAAATGCAGGTGGGGAAGAGATACTGGAGTGGGAAAGGCTGTGGTAGCTGAGAGAGAATCAAGTGCCCTTTGGATAGATATGAGAGGATGAGATCCAGAGGCCAAGTGGAATGATTGGCTTTAGACAGGTGGGGTCGTACCTCTGCCACTGCAAGAAGGAAAGGAGGTCAAGGGGAAATGAATGTGGTCATATCTGCAGGGGGTTTAGGGCACAAGACTGAAAGACTTGGCCTCATGGTCTCTGGTTCTTACTCCATTATTAGACTGTTTGTAGAGCAGAGTTAGGATTGAAGCCAGAGTCAGCTCAACACTTTCCCAATTTAGGGCCCCAAATGCTCCCACTTCCTTAGGCAGATGGCCAGTCTCTTTCCAGCATTCTAATTGTACATATACACACTGTGACAGGAAGAGCCCAAGCAGCAGGAGGAAGGCGTCTGTCGCAGTTCATTAATTAAACAAAAGCATCGACCTGTGCTAACAGCTGAGTGCAGGTATGGGAAAGAACAATCCTAGAGGGGTCTGGGTTCAAGTTCTCACTCTATCATTTGTCAGCGAAATGGCCTTGGGCATACCACCCCCACTTTCTGAGCCTCAGCTCCCTAAGCTGCAAATGGGGACGGTTATACCAAATACTGGTGTTCTTCTGAGGATCTCATGAGACAGTAGGAATTAAATACTCTAAAACTCCAAAGTGCTGGCCATAAATGTGAGTAGTTGCTAAGCCAGGTAACAGCTTGCACAAACGTTTCAGTACTTAAAAGGGACTGTCCGAGGCAAAGCACCACTGAGGCACTGCCAGTGGGCCTGGAGGCAAGCCCAGGTGTGGCCTTCACTGAGTGCTTACCCTCCTGTTCCTGCCCAGGAGAGGATGTCAGCCGAGTGGAGAGACCTGTGAAGGGAGTGGTGTGTGTGTTGAAATGATTTCCTTGCAGACATGGTTAAGTCAATTGTTTAAAACTAGACTCATGGTCTTGCCTCTGAAGCAAGAGATAGTCAGGAAGGAGGAAACTCCAGAGGTGTCCCAAGGCTGGGATGCAGAACATGGATAAAGGGCTGCGACCCTGTTCTAAGACTGGTAGTTCTTGCTTTCTGGAAAAGCATTGAATCCTAGTGAATCAGGAATGCACCTGTGCAGAAGATGCTACCTGACCCCTGCTTCATTATAATAGCATCATAATAAATTAGCATTGTGGGACCCCCTTCCCGGTAGCCAATCAAGGAAATCATGGGAGACCCACCCTAAAGGAATAAAAGCCCTCTTGCCCCTGAGGTTGGGGCTGTTAGGCTCTGCTCTGCTCTTTACTCCACTCTGCTCAGAGTTGGCCTGCTCCCATGTTCTGTGTGGCTTAATAAGTCTGCTTTCTCTCACCTTCTGCTATAAACTCTGTGTGTTTCGTTCAATTTTTTTGTCTGCAATCACCAAGAACCTGGTTACCTGTGCACACTTGTGGCAATTCCATCCCCAAACCTGCTCCTCCCCAGTCTTTCTTGTTCTCTCAGTCATTCAGGCCAAAAACAGTAGAGTCTACCATGACTTATTTTCTCTCACACCTGAATCCCTTTTATCAGCAAATCTCATCAGTTGTGTGTTCAAAACACATCCTGACCTCAAATACCCCTCAGCCCCACCTTCCCTGCAATCCTGGACCAGGTCACCATTGGCCTTCACCAGGATTACTGCAATAGCTTCTACTGGATTTCCACAGTTGCCATTGCCCATTCTTAATGTAGTCTCCACTGTGACCCTTGAAAATAGAATTAGATGATATCAACTCTGCCTCTGGCCAAGATGGGGATCATTTACTCTTATACCACAAACAACAACAACAACAACAAAAAGGAAAAAAGTATATGACAGTGTTTTTTCAGATATAGGACAATAGGGAGTGGAGGAGGATGAGCTGGCCCTGAGAGGGAGAATCAAATGAGATGAGCCTTACTACTGGCCCAGCCAGGCTGCAGTGCAGGGAGGAGAGCCCAGACTAAGCCCAGAGCATCTCTGAGTTGATGAGAGGTGCTGAGAATCTGGGAAGCCTAAGGCAGTTAGAATTCTCAGGCCCAGAGACCTGCAGAGGATCTCCTGGGTCTCTTGTACTGCTATTTGGGTGTGTAAGAAAACTACCTGAGGTCATGGAAAAAATCACCAGAAAGGATTAGAGGGAACAACCCCTGGAAGTGACACAGGGCAGCCTTTCATCTAGGGCTGATTGCACCCTGCTACTGAGGCAATTCCCTTTGAATACACCTCCTCATCTCCCATGAATTATGAAATTTTCCATTCTAGTTGGTGACAATGTTCCTATTCCTGCGTCTGTATGAACTCCATTGATTGCTTGTGCCTATCCTTTCCAATTGTTCTTCCTTAGCCTCTGATGGTTTCATCACATGTCTACGTTGATTAGAAGCCAAACATCTGAGGCACCCTCTGTAGCTCACTAAGCTCTCTCTCTGTGAAAGTATTCTCCAGGGTTTTGCAAGGTCAGCCTCCCTGACTTCCTACCTCCATCTCCTTGATTCCAGGAAGTTGCCAGGCTCTGCCCTTCCTGTACTGTAGCAGGTCACTGTTCTGTGCTGCCTGATATCCTATGTCTGAAGAACACTAACAACATTTCCTCCAGCTTTTTAGTTGTTTTGGATAGGAGAGTAAATTCATTTCCTATTACTCCATCTTTGTAAGAAATAATTCACAAAAACTTGTTTACATAAAAACCTGTACACAAATGTATACAGAGGCTTTATTTTGTCATACCAAAACCAAGAAACTGTAATGGGTGCATGTGAAAGGAGGTTCAGAACATGGCGTAGGCTGAGAAGCCCCAAAACCCCCCACAAGCCTGGTTTAGAGGCTGGGAAGAGCAGCAGCACAGTGATTGAGAGTCACTTTGCCTATCAGTAACAGCAGGCCAGCTTCATAGTAATGCTGAATAGATTGCCTGGGCCTGGAGATGGGCATGACTTTGACCCCTGATGTAGCTGGGAGGCACCTCCCCCATTTAACTATGGCAGCCAAGAAAGTCAGAAAATAAGGTAGTGCTAGATTTTGGGAGGAAGCAGAAATAG